AACTGCAATTTGAGACCTGGACGTCAGTTGGTGTCGGGAGCGAGGTCGTCGTCACCACACCCTTGCGGTTGGCTCGCAGCCGATTCATGATTGGCACATGCGCGCAAACGGGCTGTGGCATCCGTCGATGCCCGGCACGTTGCAGGTGAGGGTGACACCAGACATTTCCACAGAGCGCCACGGTGTGGCAGTCAAGTGGAATGTGGAATGCCGCCTTCCACCAGGGGAGGAAGTGGTAACGGCAAGAAGGGAACAGGAGAATGGCGACAACCATGCAAAAAAGAACCTGGAAGACGCGGCTAAATCTGCAAAATATGTTGTACAAAGTGCCATCCGTCGTCCTCGACTCGAGTCCACCAACTCGACCCACGTTGTACACAGGCCCCATCCAGAAAGCCCTATAGATACGGATACTTCCAACCCCTCCTTCAGACGCCGAGACACACACAGGCAGTGACCACCAAATGAGAAGGTGGAACACAGCCAATCAGAGCCACAAGTGGACGACGCGCAGGACCTGCCCATCTCGCCTCCTTCCCTCCATCGCCAACCCCATCCTTCCATTGACTTGCACGGCGCTGAAGGGCCCGTTCTGTCGCTGCCCGGCACCTCGGAGCGCCACCAAGCTGCCAAGAACGCCTCGAGCACGTTGTTTCAAGCCAGAATGCCGGGATTGCATGACGCGCAAAGTCTTGCCGAACGCCTGCTGTTGGCCCACAAATCGACCCGTTCAATAAAGAATGTTGGAACACACGGCAGTCACAAGCCCCAACACCCACGCAACTGCATGGAAATCTTCTCGTGTGGGGGAGGGGTCGTGCCGCCAGCGCATTGGCTGCCGCGTGTGGCTCAGCTTCCCGGTCCAAAGGGCCCACTGTCGGGTTCCATTGTCACGGTCAGGCCGTTGTTCCTCAAGGCCTGGCAGTAGGACTCCGCAGTCTCCTGGGCACAGCACGTCACCAGGGCCAGTCCGTTTATGTGCGCCTCCTGCACTCACAGCCAAAAGGCGTCTCAGGGGGCAGCAGCGTGGCACAGCGACAATTCAACTTGAGAAAATGCAGCGAGGCGGGAGGAAATGTCAGGTTGGTTGTCAGCTTACTGCACAACATACATGATGGCAACAGGAGCAGTCACGTCACTCGCGGTGATATACTGTTTTGGAAAATTGCAGGATGAGTGGGTACTACAAGTACTGAAGCTTTTGCCTGTGTTCAACACAGGTTGAAGGTACAGCTAACGTTTGAACTGTTTCTGAACTTGCTGAATGCTGCCCACCCCAATTAGGTACAATTGGCAGTTTTGAATTCGTAGTCTTCAAAAACATTCTGTGTTTCAAAATTGATCTCTGGGACAGCACGTGGCATCAGTGGATTTGGCAGCATCCCCTTGTGATTACAGATGGTTGACCTGACAAGATGCCCAACACTGAGAATCAATCTAGAATCCCAGGTCCCCTACAGAGCCCTCACCATTGCTTGATTGTACCACGGCCCATTGATTCTTCTGAGACATGAGTGAATAGCAGAGTTCTGTGCCAAGCATGCACGCAACTCGTGCTCTAAACGAAAGTTCAACCTCCAAAATGCCAGGCTCAGTGGCTGGGTCACCATTTGTCCTTGTGCGCAACGATAATGGACAGCAAATGTTCACAAGCATCATGCCCATCTCCTTGGCCTTTGAAGAAATCACGCCAGCAGCATATGGCAACTGGATATCAACATCAAACATGCCTATCTCCATTGCCTGCACACTAAATATCCCAGGCCACAGCACAGCAACTGGATGCCCAAATTCGAACACAGCAACTGGGAAAACTAACAACACCAATTGTCAATCTCCTGTGGGTTAGTTCATAAATCCCCTTCCAGGCAGCCGCAGCAGTGCAGACCAAATCAAAGCAGTCATCGCACTGAGCAGTGACACTACATGTTCCCACCTTCAAGGCAGCAGCAAAGTCTCTAATGCTGGTTCAAACACCCGCTCTATCGCGTGCACATAGCAAAACAGCAGATGGACAAAAACACAGGAACATAAGCAAAACTGGAAGAGCAGATTTGCAGTTGGCTGTTTCACCTGGCACTTCAGGTTTACAACACAGCGCTTCACACAGTATTGATGCCTTTTGGGTGTTACTGCTCCAGTCCAGGTCGTGGCTCAATGGTACGAAGCAAACCCCAAGCACTTCAGCGGGCACACCTGCATCACGTTGACTGCATCATCGACAGTCAGCCCATCGACGACCTTCAGCAGGACTTGGACCACATACTCCCTCTTGTTGAAGCTGTCATTGTGCAAGATGACCCGATACACAGGTGGCCGCTTCTTCACGGTGCCAGACCTGTTGCAGCACTTCATTCATGTCAGGCCTCCGATACCCGCAGGCAGCACTGTCATAAGATCATGAGAAGAATCACAGCCAACTGGACGTACTGCTGCCAAGCTCCATTTCAGTGTGATATTGGAAGACAAAGGAGGTGCCTTCCACCCTGCATGCGATGATTTTGCAAAGATGCATTCTCAACAGTCGCGATAACTACCTACAGGTCATGAATAATTAAAAAATCGTGGTGATGCACTGTCACAGCAGCAAAAATTTGCATCGCAATGAGCGTTTCCAACCTGAAGGAAACGCTAGACAAGAGCATTGCCTTCGATGCAAGACTGCCTTTGCACTTGGAAGAGAAGGCATTCAATGGGGAGCCCCTCCCCAAGCAAGAGTGTTGCAGGATACTTTCCTGTGCAACAAATGTGGTGCGAAACTCTCTGGAACAAGAGGGTAGGATCTGCATAGAGTGGTCAACGAGAATTCCGCTGGGCAACAGAAACTGGACATTGGACCGCCTTGTCATCTCGTTTGTGAATAACTCAATGTCTGCAATGCAAGTGGTGAATTAGAATGTTGAAATCTTAAGACCTTTTGCTCACAGTTGCGAACTTTCAAGTAGTTAGTGCACACCTTACCCCACAGTACCACAGAGCACACTTTTCTGTCAGGTTCTCTCTGCAGCAATGCGAGGCCCCAAGTTCAACCCCAACAGTGGGTGGGTGTGGGGAGCAGGAACGAAGGCTTGTTGGGGTGCATGGGCGCCCGGGCTCCAAGTGGCCTATCAGGCGAAAAGGGCAGTGCTTGACAGGCCCCCCGCCAAAGCAGTTCACCGCTTTCCCCCGACAACATGCTCAAGGCTGCCAGCGCAGAGACCCCAATTCATTGGATGCCACCCCAACTGCACTCTTCCCAGCCCCCCGACCGCCCGTCCAGCGCGAATCGACGCCCACTCACTTCCGATCGACTCCCGGCTTCGCTACGGCGGGCCTGTCCATCACGCCCCCTCCCGACTTCATGGTCGTCGCCCTCCCGGCCACCGGCGTCGCCCGCCTCGCGCGGGCGGCCCCTGCGCGCCTCCATCGACATCCTGTCCACAGAGATAGCCGCCGCGGATCAAGAACCGCCGCCGCGCTTGCCTTCGGCTCAAAATTAAGCACGCGTCGGGCGGCTGGTGGCCCCGGCTGGAATTCGCGCTGAGGAAGCGGACAGGCGCCTCATGGCGTCCAAAATGCGACCGTGTCGAACGGCAACCATGACAGCCGAACTTCAGAGCGCGGTGAATTTTTTTGCGATAGCTATTTTCGCGGCGATTCTTTCGCGGTGAAAGTTTTCGAGCCGCGGCCGCGGAGTCGCGGCGGGACCGTCGTTTCGCCGCTTGGGCGCCGGGGTCGGCATCCGTCACCAGGGGCGTCCGGCCGATCGGGCGTCCGGCCGATCGGATGTCCGGCCGAGAGGCCCGTCGGGAGAAGGGGGCGCCCACCTGACAGGCGCGGAGGCCCTCGCCGCGAGCAGGCGACCTGCGCACAGCCACCCACGCCGCGACTCAATCCCAACCTCCAAATTCACAAAGACCCGGGGCAAAATCCGCCGGGCCCAGCGCCTCACGGACGCAAATCTCCCAACTCTGAGGGAGCACGGCCCACTGTCCCTGATGTTCACGCACCGCCGAGGTTGAAGTCCGCACGCTCTTCGAGAGCATCCCCTATACTTTACAACCGGATGGCACGTCCACGCAAAGGCAGCGACGGCGGCCGATCCCCCGATTGCACCGCCCGCCGGCGCCAAGCGGGCGGCGGAGGGGGAGGGGCCGGGCGGCACGCGGGCGAGGGGTGGGCTCCGGCGCGGAGGGCGCAAAGTGTGTGCCCGCTGGCACAAGCGAGTGGAGAGGCCTGGGCTGGACGGGCCCAGTGAAGGGACGCCGCGGCGGTGGTCGGCGCACCCCCGCTGGCCTGTCACGTGGCCTGACGTCGGCCATTGGAGCACCTCTATTTTGTGATAGTCGACTCTTGTTTCGGACAGCCTGAACCCTAAAACCATTGCAAAAAAACTGGCTGCCGTTGGCCTTGTCAGCAGAAGGATAAGGGATCCTCACGGAAACGATGTTAGGAATAATATATTGTCGCCGGGCGGCAGTCCGTCGTTCTCCACTGTGCCATCAATGCCGAGGCGCCCCCGTTCACCAGAGTTTTCCAAGTCAGTAACAGAAATGCTGCACATTTTCACATAGCTTGGTATGTTTCTTATACACCGTAAAATATGCGTTGCATCCTTGTGAATAGTTTCCGTTTTGCATCCTTTCGCTCGTTCGAAATCCGCCCAATGGATGCTTGCGTCGAGAAACGTCGAACTGGGGTTTGTGTGGGTGGGTGGGTGGTGGGGCGGGGATGCTGAGTTTGACGCGAATCCAACCTCAAAAGTCACAAAATGGCCATGGTGTCGGCCCCCAGGGCAGCAGCCGAGCGCATCGACTTCAGAAAACCCACGACGCTTGGGGTCAAAACCGACATTTGCCAAACAAAGTTCTATTGAGCCGATCACAGTCCACCTTTTCCAAGAGCCAGGCTTCAAGACGCGGCTCTCCAGGCAACCACCATTTTTCACAGGCGCCATCCAGCGATCCCATCAGTGGCCCAGGACCTGCGGTCTTGCCGGTCCCCGCCCTGTACGACCTCTTTCTCTTTCTCTTCACACCGAATCTTGCCCTTCCGTACCTCCTACCACGCACACTGACAACAAACCCGCCTCCCCCCGCCCCCTTGCCTACACCAGGTGCCCCCCGCACGCATGGGCCATCACCATGCAGTCCGCCCCGCCGCTCACCATGCCCCCTTCCCCCTCCCAGTCCACGGCCAGCACCTTGTCCGAGTGCGAGCTCACCGTGCCCAGTGGCACCGCCCCCCGCACGTCCCACAGCTTCAGGCTGTGATCGTACGACCCCGTGACCACGTGATGCTGCGAGTAGGGCGACCACTTCACCGAGACGATCCAGCCGGCGTGCGAGGCGTGGCGCCTGACGGCGATGGCCTCGCCGCTTCGGCTGCGGGGGTCCCACGTGCGCAGCACGGGGTCCGCGCCGCCGAAGGCGATCAGCCCCGCGCCGCCGGGCGCGGGGGAGGCGTCACAGACGACCTTGGAGCCGCTGAAGGTGTCCATGTTGGCGCCCGTCTCGGCGTCCCACCTCCTGACCTGTGACGCGAGACGGGACGTCACGCAAAATGCGTCACACATAGGCGTCACACATTGCCATCGCGCAGACCTCACACAAAGGCGTCACACAAAGGCGTCACACAAAGGCTTCACACAAAAGCGTCACACAAGGCCTCATGCGAGGATGCCGGGCATGGGCGCAGCGGAAGGCGCCGTTCAATGACGTCACGCGAAGACGTATCGAAAGGAGATTGAGATTGACTGGCCGTCAGAAAGGGCGGGCGCCTCCTAGGCAAGAAGGTTTGTGATATGTCGTTCCATTGAGCGGGAGACGGTGCAGAATTTTCAAGGGGCCAGGGGGAGGAGCTGACGGGCCACGCGTGTTGTGAGGGCGGCCGAGGTTCGCGGCCCAGGGTCCCAGGTGCAGAGCCGATGCACCGCTACGCGGAAGCATACGACTTGTGACATTGTACAGAAGGCCGATTGTCATGTCAGCTCTGACTCAGCTGTGGCCTAGAGCTGCAAGACGGAAGGAAACTAGGGGATCACCACAACTCAACGACGCAGTGAAAAGTTTGATCTTCCATGCAATCTGGAGCGGGGGGCAGTGAGTGGATACCGAGAAGGCTTTTGCGCTCAAAGACCCAACGCCGCGCGGCTCCGTGCCTTGGTTTAACCCGCCCAGCAGACACGGCTGTCTGCCGAGTGCACAATCTGCGCATCCACGCCAAACGAAGCACTGGGAGGCACGCCGCATTTGGCTGCGTACTCAACACAGCGCTTGACGGCAAAACTTGAGACAAATGGCCCAAAGGGGGCATTGCTCAGTCACCCACCGAGTGGTCCCAGCCTGCGGTGACAATTGTGTCTTCTGAGGGCCAAGCAACGGAAGAAACGGTCTGCGTGTGGCCCGTGAACCTGGCTAGAGGCTCCTCGATGACCACCTCCTCGTCCACACCGTTATCCAGGGCGCCCGATTTCCTCTTTCTTGTTGCACTGCCGCCATCCTTACGGCGGTCGCTCGCTGCGTTCTTCTTCCCCGGCTGGTCGTCGCTGGGCTGTTCGACCACCTTCTTGCCTGGCCACAACCATTCACTGCGCGATGGGGAAACCCAAGGAAACGTGGAAGTGCCGGTGGGGCATGCGCAGTGGTCGCCATGACCGATGCCCAGATTGTCAAACGCCAAGTTCAGTTCCGGCGATCTTTACAGATGCAACGAGGAGAAAAGAAGGCAAGGTCAGCATCGCGGGTAAGGTCGTCTTGAGGACGCCTCTCATTCCCCCCATAACCACAAGCTATTGACTGAGACAAGTTATTGACTCAGACTTTCAGATAAATGCTCCACTGGCGCAGTATCTTGCACATTTAGGCAAGGGTAATTGAGAAGCATTATTCTGTATGTTGCATGCTGGACTTGCGCTCGCATCGATGACAACCACGCATTCGCACCAAATGATGCCAATTATGACATGTGGCTGAGCAGACAGCTCACTTGCTCAATGTGCCGCATTGTTGCTGGAGCTTCAGCTATTAGTCCTGTCTGGGAGAATGGCAACATTTAGGAAAGAACCAAGACCAAACAGACAAGATATGCACCGCATCGGCAACTCCGCTCAACAGAGAATACCGAACAGGAGAATGGGCACCGAATTGTGATATTTTTGTGACAACTCTATGCCTATGTATACTTCGCATATATTGCAAAAGTAAATCAATAGAAACTCTACATTTGAGAGATGTTTATACCATGCAATTTCACTCCTTGAGTCCAGGCTGTGGCCTGTCAGACGCACCACTGGCCCACATCTTCGGGACACCCTCCCGCCCTCCACTAATCCATCGCTTCCCACTGGGGGCAACAGCCACGCTCTCGACTCCCCCATTGTCTCCCTTGCACGTGGCGACCAGCGTTGCTGGTCCACCGGCCCCCTGTTACAAGGCACAGCAACAGCTTAGTGCGACTCTCTCAAAGGCAAGGTCATCAAGATATTCCCCACCTCAACTATTCGTTACCAAACAAACTGGCTGCCCGAGATTCGTCATCATCAATGGAACCCATCAGCCAGGTGTGCAACATTTCAATCTACCTTCTGGATGTGAAGCCGTCCATGACAGGCGCTTCTTGCAGAGGGCTTTTCTTAGTGCGTAACCTCAAACATACCTCTGCAATCTCCCACAGCTTGATGGTGCCGTCGCGGCTGGATGTGAGCATGAACGAGCCTTGGTTGGTAGGCACAGACACCACAGAAGTTACGGGCCCGCTGTGGGCAGCCAGGCTCCACAAGCTATCCAACGAACCTGCAAGGTGGCCAGAACGAACGAAAATTTGAAAATTTGTGCCATGAGAAGCTCAGCACAGCACAGCACCCAGTTCAGCATTTCAGCATTTCAACAATGTTGAATCAGCAACCACCACTGACCTGCTGCTGCAGCTACAAACATTGAGCAGCGCCTGTCTGTCATTAATTGGGTGGTGCACATTGGCAGCACACAAGTTAGATTAATGCAGTCTGAAAGGGTTGGACAGACTTGGGCCAATGCGTGCATGTGGACTTGCAGCACATCGGCTCAATGCGAATACTGCGCTGTCCTACCATTCCATCCCCTGACAATGCCGTCATGGCTGCCAGATAGCACGCCACCTGCCCAACTGCCATCGAGAGCGCTCACCCTGCACAGCATATGATCCAATCAATTGCAGGGACACTTAACCATAAGGATGGTAGCACACAGACAATACAAGGTAACTGGACAATGCATCATGTAGCACATTTTCCTCAAGTGGCAACGCAATGCCCTTGCACCCGCAAGGCGATGCCAGACAAAAGTCTGCAGGATGATTGTTCAAAATACGAATGCCACAAGTGCAAAGCTTCGCTGCTTCAAAGCCAAGTTTCTTGATGGATCTTATTCAGAATCTCGAGTTTACAGACATCATTGCTTGAAGAAAACAGGCAGGCAGACTTTGTGTGCAACACAACCTTGCAGGTGCAACGGCTGCCCTTTGTCATCAATTTGCAAGTGCAGTGAAAAGAAACAGTCAAATGGCTTAGTCAGGGATTTGCACATGCTACCAGTGTGGAACAGCAAGCGCACACATGGCAGCCAATTTTGACCAGTGATCTATCAGGACACCAGCCTACCAATCATCGTGCAAAGCTTGGTTTTTTGTCTTGGGTGGTGCCACGATCGGCAAGTATTGGACCTCGATCACAGATTCCTGCAACCAAGACGAATGGTTTGAGTCAGACACTTCACCTGCTCTGCTTCTTTGCCCCACGCAACATTCAATGTGTCCAAGAGTCAATGAGGATTACCCACTTAAGCACTCCTTTACTGAGAGCTGTCTGCCCAAAGACAGAATATTTTGGCCTGCTTGGTAGTGGATGGGCATAAGCCACTCTGGACAGAAACACCTGCAGCTGTGAGCATTGCCCAGCATTCCACTGCGTCCCTGGGCAGCTCCCTTCCATCCTCTTACAAATATACTTCAGTACATCTGCACACTGTGACGTCAACGACACAATCAAGAAGCACTGTGGACGGGATGAACAGTCGATCAGTTAGAAACTTACAAATGTTGTAATATCATCTACAACACGCGTAGAGCATGATCTGTGACTTCCTGGCACATCCATCTCTGGTGGCAAGATTCACGGCCAAAATGAAGGGCTTACAGGCAAAGCAGAGAGCAAAGGACGGTGCATCTGACCCAAAACGCAACTAAAGCCATGCCTGCACGTTGCCAACTGTTGTTGAGGGCTACCATGTGATTGTCATTTTGGCAACTTTGCCACAGAGATTCAAAACTTTGCCAAGGTGGTTTGTAGAAACGCCCTCCAGTTGGCACAGAGAGCAGCCACTGGCTGTACGGTTGAAAGCAAAAAGCATCAGCACAAATCAAGCTGCCCATAATAGTGTTGCTCTATGCAGTCCTAATCACTTATTCCAAACTGCGCCTTGAGTTGCCAACAACAATATAAGAACAGCAACAATACTGTGTATCGATTAGCCAAGCTGACATGTCTCATTGGACACAACGAAGTGATCTGCTGATAGCCAATTGTTCCTTTGCCTTTCATGCCACTCGATGATGCTTGCCATTCCTCTTCAACACAAGAGCACATTTTCCTGTGCTGCTTTTTGGCACAATGCAGCACTTCTGTGTCACGCAGATTTAAGCTCCTTTCTTCAAGAAATGTCAAAGCAGGTTGTCCAGAACCTGAGCTGGAATCGAAGCTGTTCTGTAAGGCAAAAGGGTATCATTGCTTGCAGCATGTCAACCAACGCTAACCATCACCTGTTAAATGCAACCCACCATCGACAGGCTGTGATCTGCCAAGTGCTCCTGGATGGACTTTCTGAGCAGCTCGCCATCGATCAGGAAGTCGAATGGCCTTGCTATTTCCAGGCCAAGGAGGTGATTGATAATTTGTGACAGCCCATATCTCTTCACAACTCCAGGAACAGCCTGCAGCGAGGAGCACAATCTGCTCAGCTTTCCCCGTGCTCTCACCCAGTTGTCCCCACACATATCAGAAGATGTCCAATATTCTGTTCCTTTAGAATCTGCTGATTCACTGCTGTCTGCTCCGATGGCAGGGGTGTTGGTGTGTTCTTTTGACAGGCATAGTTAGGCATTGACAGACTGTTACTAAGCCTGTGCTGTCTGATCATCTGAGTGCTGTACAGGTATGGGCCGTGATCATTGTGCAAATTTTTACATGGCCTGTAAGGACAAAGTCATGCATTCAACCATTCGTTCGCCTATTTATTAGTTGTACCAAGGATGTAATCGAAAATTTTGCGCTGCGCACTGATCACGTTGCACTCGAAATTTCTGCAGCAGCTTCCACAGCAAGCGAAAGGTTTCCCCAACACCCTGCTCTTGGGGGATTGCCAACAGCCCTCGATCGATGGACGATGTATATTAATTGCGAAGTTGTTTATTTCATGCAGGTTCAATGTAAGTTCAGTCACCGAAGAGGAAGGACACCCCCACTGCATGACCTGTTCCCGTCCTGTCGAAAGGATCCTTTCCATCCCAGCCCAGTGCGTCATTGATAGTTTGCTGCATTGCTGCATCCTGCTGCTCTTGCAGACTTCTTACTCAACAATTGGCCACCCCTCGCCATCATTCGTTCCGCACATGGTACAATCCACAACATGAAGTCGCAACGCCAGGAGCTAAACTACAAGGGTGAAAGAGCAGAAAGGTAACAGGAACAGTCGACGACGACATGATATCCATTTTGAAGAAAAGACAAACCTTCGCGGTCACCTTCGTTCCTCAAATCCCCATTGGTCTCCGTCACGCACAGCAATCAGCCTCCCAAAGCACAGCGCAGCGGCCAGAAAGTACCATCAAGAGACTAGACGCTGGAATCCGGTTGCATCCCTGCGCGGGCAGGGTTTGAGTTCGACTGGCGCTCACCACGGGCGTCTCCGGCACTCGGAATTCTGGCGGCAGGTCGGTCACGAACTTCAGCGCCACCTGGACGTCCTCCTCCCGCGCCTCGGTGCCCATCTTTCCGCAGCTATTGTCGCGTTTCGCAGGCGCGCCTCGCGCAGGTGTCAGCCCCGCTGTGTTTGCAACTGCGCCCGCGCCGACGCTAGTCGCCTCCTCAAGGCTTCCACGGCCGCCGCAGTGGCACAGTGTTGAACATAGAGTATTGTGGAAGGTCAACAAACTGTGCCGTGGAGGCTTAAGTACTGGCGTGGGGACGAGCAGAATTGTTGTTGTTGTCGATGGAATTGATGGGGTCGTTACTGCCATGGCATTGGCGCTGTCAGTCCGACGGCGCTGCGCAGACTTTCGTCAATCACAGTGCACCAAGGGAGCATGCGGTGGAAATCGATCCAAGGCACACCGCCCTGTGCAGTGATCCATTTACTCGATGTCTTCAATGGAGTTTTCGACAACTCATTACACCCATTGAAAACGCTGCGTTGACAATCCAAAGGGTGCCATTATGTCGCTCTTGGTACGCCTAACGCCGAAGTGACGCTGAGCCGGGCCTCTCCTTTCTCGACTGCGGGGGCCGGGGGGAGGACCCTCTGTATGACCTGCTTGCGAGGATATACTTTTTCTTGTGCGGTTAGTTCCTGCTGCAGCACCTTTGCCAAAACGTTGTGCAGCAATTTTGAAAATGTGGCAGTGATTGCAGCGAACATTCATGGGTATTTCAGATGTGACACGGATGCCCGTCGACAACACCACCCCAACGAATACCCTGCCAATTGCCCCCCAATCAGTGTGACCCCTTTGTGTTGTTAAGAGCAGCTTTGCAGGACAACAGGACCCCAGTCGGCGTGACTCCCATTTATCCGCCAACCTACCAGGTAAGCGACGCCCCAAGCTTTTCCATTGGCCCAAAGGAGAAATCAGATGTGGTTGCCATCGTCCAATTGTCCAGTCAAGTCTGACAAGTGGCCCTGCACAGCCATGGCTCTTCCACCACTCACAGCAATATGGGTAGCGCTGGTTGTATTGCATGGTGCTGGCCACAAACGCGTAACACGGGACGTTCGTCGCGACAAGCAGTTCTTCGTGAAGAGCCAGTTCGCGCGAGGGGCAGAGCCTGTTCGTTCAGTGCACCCTCAACTGACGAGGTGCCGAGGCTGTCGACGTGGCCCAGCCCCCCGTTCAGGGGCGATTCGACTGCGCTATCTCCGGGGATGACGGCCAGAATGGACCGCAGCCCTTCACGCAAATGTAATCAAAAGACTTGAGATGGGCAAACAGCAGCAACAGGGAACAGGCAGCACCCAAAACGAGGTCTCGATCCCCAGTCCGACCCAAAGGCAGCGGGCGCGTCACACTCCGCCCACAGGACCACAGATTACGCACGCGGCTCGCTTACGAATCGTCGGAGGCGTACGAGTGCGCCACGCCCCACCCGCAGCGATCGCCAACGCCCCGCCGGCCACCGCGACAGCCCTGATCGCCCCCCCCATGCGGCGCCCGGGGCGGTGGCCCGCGCTCTGGGCCCTCGCCGCCCTCGCGCTGCTGGCCGCGATCGCGGTCGCGGACGACCTCGACGACTTCATCGACAGCGTCGACGCCGTGGTGAACGAGGTAGCGGATGCCGCGGCGATGGCGCACAGGGGGCGGGAGGAGGCGGTGGAGGATTGCGAGTGCTCCTTGCACGCTTGCGGCAGCGCATTCCGAGACAGCCATGAGTGCCGGAAGGAGCTGGGGACGGCGCCGGCGTGCGGAAACTGCACCGGGCAGAAGGTGACACAAAAGGGGGGGGGGGGAGGAGGTGTTTTGCAAAGAGGGAAAGAAACAGGTTGCGCAAGGGGCGCCCCCTCGTGAGCAAATGTATGCGAGACTCTTTTCCACGCTGTGGAAAGTTAATGTGGATCCTCCGATGCGAAATGATGTGCAACCGGCGCAAGCATGCGGGAGGGGGGGAGGGAGGGAGGGGGAGAGGGGTAGTCCTGAGCGGGGAGAAGAGGTCTTCGCCTTGAGGTTTCCTTGGGCCCCCGGGAAGGGGAGGGGGATGAAGGGGCGCGAGAGAGGGATTCGGAGTCGGAATGTAAGCGTTTCGGAATCTGCATTTGAGGTGTTGCGCCTGCCGAGGTGCGGAAGTGCCGCGGAAGTCGCGGGCATCGGGGCGCGCCGCCGGCCGGGCAATTGACGAGGAAGCTACGCCTGGTGTGGCGGGTGGTCGCGCTGCGATTGTCTGCGTGGCGCGACGCCGTTTTGGGTCCGTTACGTTGATGGGTGTGGCGGGGGACTGGACGGTGCGGGCCCGCGGCCCCGGGGGGGGCGAGAATTGGACGCGCCTAAAAATTTCGCTCTGAGGCCAAGGCGAGAATCGGGCTGCAGTCCGCCTTCGAGATAAGGGGTGCGCGGCGGCCGGACGCCAGAGCGCAGTGCGCGTTTATTCATGCATCGGGACGACCGTTGCAAGGCGGGCGTTTTCGCGATGGCAGTCCCTGCGGTGCGTGCGGAACGAGCGGATGGGAAGGGGGTGGCTGCGTGGATATGTGCGTCGACTTTGGGGTTTGTGCACGTATGCAGCCGGGACAAGAAGCACCGCGATTTCGTGTCGTGGCACCAAGGTTGGGGCCCAACGCCCCATGTTGGGGGGCGAACCTGGTCGCTCAGCGTCCAGGGGGCCAGAAGTTTAGTCTTGAGAGGCACACCTTAGTGCTTTGTTTTCGCTGTCTGCGCCATACAATTCACCGTGCAAGGATGCGTGGTCGTGCACCCTGTGGCTGGTTATGAGCAAAGGTTCCCGAAAGACCACTTGAGCATTTGGGGCTTACCATGGCCAGCAGGATGGGGGGGCACGAGTACCAATAAACAGCATCTGTTCAAGAAATGTTTGCGCTCCCAGAGTGACAGCAAGGTGGCAAGTAATCCATCAGAGTTGGTCGATGTGGGCTGGTGCACTCTGACATACGCCAGAAAGTAAGGTCCTCAAAACATCTCCAATGGCCGAAGAAGCTACCGCAAGTGATAATCTAAACAGCAGTTTGAGCAGGGCTCTTGTGTGTGGCACATAAATGGAGCATGTACCGATGTCCCAGTATTCTTCCTTGTTGTGCCATTGCGATTTCTTCTCAGAAACATCCAAAGCCTGATCACTGTCCCTTGTTGCGTCTCCCAAGCCAGGTCCCTTGAACCTAAAATCCTATGGTGTGATGCTCTGTGGCACCATGCGACATAGCCATGCCTTGGATGTAAACAACTGAGCCATCATCCCAGAGTGGGAAAGCAATGCGTATGACAATGGGCAGCCAAAGCAACTTCTGTTGTTAAACTTGTCATCAAATGGCAACGCTGGATGCTTTCCCCTTGCTGGCGTTGATGGGTGTATGCAGATTCGAAACGTTATCCTGCTCCACATTCGTTCGTTTCTCCTCCTGCCACTCGTGTGCAATGCATGCAAATAGTGCATGCAAGTTTACAAAAGCCTGTCCGAGCACGGACTCGAAGTATGTGCAGATGTTTTGTTGTACAGTGGTCAAGCCACCACCACCACGTCACTAAATGTTGCATCCTGCCACATTGTGCAAGTCAGTTCTGTGCTCCACTATATTGGGCGTCAGAAAATGCCTCACCTTTTGTTTGGACTCACAAAGAGGTTTGGGCTTGCCTGCAGCTGGACTTCGACAACAGTTTTGTTTTGACACCGCCTGGCACAAACATCGATGCCATGGGATCTGGGGTGAAAGATTCCATCTGCACCTTCAGGGTAGGATCACACTCACAATCTCCTCTCTAACGACTTGGCTGTGTGTGTGCTGCCGCAAATAGAGCCACTGCCAGCAAAGTTTCATTGCACCAACGCCCACAACATGTCAGCATACATCTGGTGAGGGCATAGCAGTACATCACATTGCGTGCAGTTGCCCTTTATAGCCACTTAGGAATCTTTGACACTGCTTTGTTCTTTAGGCCACCGGGCAGCAATGCTCTCCTGTGCACATTGTCTGCAGTCTGTCGAGTGTTGTCCTTCTCGCCCAGCTTGATGACTGCCATAGCCCTGTGATTGAACATCTTCGCACAACCATTTTCGCAATTCTTTGTGCAATGGTGTGGCGCCCCATTGTCAAAATCTGTGCCAATGGCACCTCCAATACATTTATGTACATTAACATGTTGTTTAAAGTCATTTATTGTACCTGTGGAACGTGCACGGAAGCGTCCTTTTCAGAAACTAGCGCTTTCTAGTGGCTCGCATTTTGTGACAATCAAGTTCACCCTGAGCATGTCGAGGGACAAAGCACTTCGGACTAGTCCAGAAAAGGAGCGCTCGATTCGGTACCAACTACTTCCAAGGTCCGGAGGCAACGACGTCAATAGTTTTGTTGCGTACTTCCACCTGAATTAGTGCATGCCTTGCAGAAATTGGATTCTGTGTTCCTGACTGCCAACGTCCACAGCGAATCGGGCGGGCGAGCGTGGACATATGTGGCCACGACAGATGGAGTTATGAGGTGTGTTTGCGGGGCAGTTGGCATCTCAACCCCCCACATTGGTCTGGATAGCCATCCAGGTGACTGCACAATGCTTTGTCTCGTAACGGGTTGGTGATGAATGAAGTGCATAGCATCCAGCCCTATTACTGTGTGAAATTCCATTACATCCAGCCAAAGTGTTTGTCCCTATGCTCAATCCAAGACGGGGCCCATTCACAAGAAATGCGATGTAGGGCGATTGGTGTCCACAACTGTCCCTAAAACGCCCACTCAAGAATGTCCACAGCACCCAAGTCCAAAGCCGATGCACAGGAGCACTTTGGAAACCCTATTACTGTGTGATAGCTTCCCACGGCGTCACTGATGCCAGCCACTCTTCGGCCGCTCTGATGTCCGTGCTCTATACCGTGTAAACGACGCCGTGGAGCAAGTATTCGCTGCGGAGCACCATATGCAGCTCACGCTCGTCTTGTGCCCCGTAATGTGAAACTGCACCTCCACGCTCGAAACGCACAATGATTGCACCTTGGCTGCCAATATTCAGTTGAAATCCGCTGGGCCCCCGGAGCGCAATTGTCACAGTACTGCGCAATACATCGGGCAATATCGCATACTGGTATTTATGCACCGATTCACAGAGTGCACAAATGGTTCTGTGGGCTGCTGCGAGGATTGGAATGTCGAGTGCACTTTGTTTCACACAATGTTTGCGAATTAAACAGGAGCTGGCCGGGCCGCGCAAGGGAGCGCGGCGATGGGGTCAACGTGGAAGACGCCGACGAGGGGCTCGGGTCGTGCAAGATATACGATCCAGTGAGGCTCTCTACGATGCATGTCTGCTGCTGCCCGTCCGTTTTTGGATTGAGCGCTTTTTCCGTTCCTCGGCAAAACAAAGCCCCCCTTCCCCGGCTCCACCATGCCTGTTGACGACTCCCCCTATGCCATCCATTGCGCTGATCATTCCCGCTTCTCCAGTGTCGATGTCCAACGAACCATGCGCTTGCATAGCCGCTCAATCCCTTGGCGCTCACATTTCACCTGTGCTTTCACAGCGCACTCGACCGTGGTACGGGGCTGCAACCAGTGGCCCAAAGGATGTGGTTGTGTTGATCGACACATCACGTGAGTTGCGCTGAAATCCCCAAGAAATTTTGTCAACTGGTGGCTGCTTCCAGACTGACAATCTTCAGATACAGCCTGGCTTACTTAAGAGACTATTGCCGCATTTCTTCGAAAAAGAGCCAATAGCAGTGGCCCGAGACGCTGTGTTTCAAGTGACCTTGCGTAGGTAACGTAAATCTTCTGAGAACTTTTCAATGGCATCCCTGGTATTGAAGGGGGGCACTAGGTTCTACCATGCAGGCCTGCAGGGCGTTTAACTCCCCCAGTGCACCCGCACTTGAAGAGCGAATTCGCTCTAGTACTTCGAACTATGCTGCAGGCATCCATGCAAGAATCGGATGCAGCTTACCGGGCACTACTTGCGCGCATGGAGCCTACCAAGGTGTCACCGTAATGCGAGCATTTGTTCGCCAGGGATTTGGCGCAAGGCCCAAGCACGTCGAGTTCATTCACAATTTCGCTGACGTCGATACACACAACCCTCCTCAAATCCTTTGATTACATTTGTCACACAAACATGGCGAAACACTGCCCTTGCGCCTGAGAGGCGATGTTGGACACACAACCCTCCATAAAGTTCAAAAGTTTCAATATGGCAGGCACCATGCTGGAACCGGACAATCCGTTTGTGGAGGGCTCCGCAACGCGGTGGGACAACGCAAGGGCGGCGCTGCTGAATCTGTTGGACACTTTCAGCCTGACGGACCACGTCAACGTGGTGGAATTCAGCGATGCTGCCTTTCCCATCGTCCCAGGTGGCCTGGTACCAGCCACGAACGAGAACGTCGAACAAATTAAGGAGGCTCTGGAGATCATACGGCCACAGGGCGACAAGGACTTCCGGGTGGGCTTGGACGCGGCCTTTGACGTGCTCATTAAAGCTTCAAAAACAGCAGACGACGACAAACCTCGCACCGCGAATTGCCAAAAGGTGAGAAAGAAGTGCACTGATGTCGAATGCGATTTCAAATCGAATGTCAATTCTAATATCGCATGTCGTATGTCGAACGCCATGCCCTTTCGCCTACCACATCCTGCCCCTGAGTGCATGTCACGCTGCCTTTTGTGTTGCTTGTGTTATGTGCTCATCATTTCGCACCGTAGATTCTACATCACACTTACCCAGAAAGGGGTGCCCTTTGTGCGTCCTGTTTCTGTCATTTCTGGTGCACCAGTGGCGCAAGTCTTATCCACCACGTCATAGTATATGGTAATGATACTAGGATATAGTGCCAAGCTACAGGGCGTACGCACTATGTCTATGTCGGTTCTCCGTGAGGCCTTCCAGCGGCTGCTTCAAACTGCTACTGACGCAACACCACTGGACTCAATGGAAGTACTGGAATTTTGGACAAAATGATCGCACGCCGCCAGACCGCATGGTCGATTGATTCGGCATATGCACGTTTAATGTCTTGCCCATATTGAAGCGCTTTACAATCTTGCAAAATGTTCCATCAACTTGATTGCGCGTTGCGCGCAGCGCAGAACAGTAGTTGCCCGCACCTGGTCGTCCGCCAGGAATCCAAGAATCAATGACTGTTCCATGCAGCGAGTGTGCGTGTGCCGATTGAGCCGCTTTGTGAATCAACCAATCGAGAGGGTGCAAGTTGCTCGGCGGATGCCGCTCCAGCAACAAGGTCGCCGCCAAGCGAAGGTGTTGTAACGCAGTTGTTGTTTTCAACAACGCATCTGTTAATGAAGTCGCAATGCAGCTGCCAACTAACAAGAGCGGTGATGACATGTTTGCCGCACTGAACGGCCGTGTCCACAGGTGATCATCTTTCTCACAGACGGACATGACTGCACCACGACGGCGCAGAATTGCACAATGAACACGCCAGAGAGCTCTCCTCCTGTTGATGCTGTGCATGACTTCGTCGCGAAGCAGCAAGACAAGTTGGAGGCGGCCGGAAGCGAGCGAGCGCACATCTTTCCAGTGTCGTTTGGACTCGATGGAGACGACAAAATCCCAAAACAACTTGCTTGCGCCAACGAGGGGGTTTGGGGAAGAATAATGTGTAAGGTTCAGAAGACTGGTTCACCCAGGATCGCTTTCAGTATACTGAAATACGTATTTCAGCTGCAGTGCTGTTGGGGCTGCACATCGCCACGGTGTGTGGATGCACTGTTGTTGTTTCCAATGGATGCTTTGAATTCGATCCAAACCAGCCCGCCGTCCGATTGAGAGTTGTGCGCTGCGCTGTGAGATCCATGCCAATTTTCCCTCTCGCAGGACAAGCGTGCGGGTCTGCACCTATGCACAGCAGTTTATTGACTTCATCCCTCTGGCTGCTTTCATTGCACAATCTAGGATAAGGCCAAGCCGCAATGCATTTGGACTAAATGAGTCACCAGGTGCTTCTGGGTCATTCAGTGGTAGTATTTGTCCTGCAGTCTGTTCGACCGTTGTGCAGCCTTTGAAACTTTCGATGCTGCATTTCGATGAGCAACCGCCCCAGCCGTCATGCATCCGTCAGTCATTGGGTCGCCCTTCAGCATGCTCAGTTGTGATGAAGATGCCATTTACTGTCGATCCGTACGCACATGTGCGTAAATGTGTGCGCGGAGACAGTACCCTTCACACTGGGGGTTCGTGTGCGTTTGCGAACAGGGCCGACAAAGACCAAAACATGTGAACTCTGCGACTAACTGAAGTGCGTTTGTGAGAAAAACCATTTAGGTACTTCGGGCTCCTTGAATGTTGGTTTACCCCTGTTTTGAGGCATGCTCTTATCGCAGCAAGCCGTCTTCCCAACAGCTTAAATATGTTCCCACCGCAGAAGTCCAATTCACTATGAATATCTTGCGCAGCGTACCCAAGTACCCTGCGGATAGTTCAGCCGACAGCCCACCCCGTGCTTCCGGGTAGTAGTCCCGGGCTCAGACCGAGGGGCAATAATAAGACAGTGGCGATGGATAGCAAAACATTCAGCTATGCACTAAGTAGTGGCAAGCAGTGAATGTTGAATATGTCTAATACTGTGTCGCACTCACCAATGCGCCAAGAACTGCCGTGCAGTGACTGTGCATTGCGTCTAATGCTGTGCCATGCTCAGACACGTTGCGAATGGTGCCAAGCACTGAATGTTCCGTTCCTGCGACAGCCGGCGACGACCCCCTCGTGGTGCTGCACGCCTACACCTCGTACCTGGCCTCCAGGCGGCGGGACGCGGGTGTCGTCTGGACCCGGCAGTACGCCGACGAATTCGGTCTTGGGCCTGTGTTCACCGCCGCAAAGCCCATCCACGGCCCCAGGACTTCCAGGGGGGAGGGGGGCGCCCTGTTGGGCGTGGCGGGACACGACGTGCGGGTCGAGGACTTCCAGGCGCTGTCCCCCAAGTTCGAGGGGGTCGTGCAGAGGCTGGAAACGCGCAGGACGCAGTGCAACGACACGAACTTCAGCGCCTGCGAGCTGCCGGTGAGGTCCTTGGGGCCCAGAACGGGGCTGTGCTGGTGGCGCCGGTCGGTGCAGTCTGACGGCTGGGGAGCGGTTGCTTCTCGCGGGGTGAAGCTGGAGGATGAACTGCGCTGGCGTGGCGCCATTTGATTGGATCACGAGCGGTTGTGACTCCACGCCCTTGAAGAGAGCTGCATATCATAGGTTTTCATACCCTTCCGCATCAAAAAATTTTACCGTTACGCTTGTTGCTCCGAGTTTTGCTTATCACAGCGTTAGTTTTACTGTTTTGCGTTGCTCCGCAATTTTTTGAATGAGCGTTATATATTTTATTGTTTTCTCCGCAGAAAGGCCAAGCGCTGCGTTACTATGCAGAAGGGTTTAGAGACCTACGGTACTCGTCAATATTTGCCCAGTGCATGTAGTTGGGCAGCCGAGTTGGGCTGCACAGCTTCAGTTGTAATGCCACAGTAGTATCACGTAATTGGGGTGCACAATGTCAATGGCTGGGAAGCCCTGAATCATCACACGCCATGATATTCCCTTTGCAAAAAATTGCTCCTTGCTGGTGTGATTTGGGCGTATTAGGACAATCGCAGTCTCACCCTCCACTCACGGCGTCCCACGCCCTTTGCCTGTGAAGATACTGCGAGGCCGCAGTGGCGAGTGCCCCGAGGACTTCATGAGTAGCATGTGCTACTACTTCGACAAGACGGACAGCTTCTACATTGCGCCCGACACACCCCTGCTGCCCTACGACAAGGCCGACGTCTTCTGCCAGAGCCTGGGCGGCAAACTGGCGGAGATGCAGGACACTGGAGAGGAGGAACTCGTCACGGGCCTGGCGTCGAACTCGGGCTCGTGGATTGGCCTCAGGCGAGATGGCAACTTCGTGTGGAGGTGGGCCAGCAGCGGCGTGGAGGTGGAGCCCACCTCGGAGCTGTGGGCGTTCACAAGGGGCCTGAACGACGCCGGCAAGGCCTGCGGCAGCGTGGACAGGCGGGGCGTGCGGCACAGCGTGGAGCCGGCGGACTGCACCACCGAGGCGCGCTTCATCTGCGAGTTTGCGGCCGAGGCGGAGCCGGATGTGTGCACGGTGAGGGGGCCGAGCGTTGCCGCCGCACTGTGGTAAATGATTCCCATGCAGTTTGTGGCGTTTCATTTGTAGAGAGTAATGTAAGGCGTTGGTAAATTGCAAGTATTTGTCCGATGCGATTGGCATGAATTCGATTTAGTGAGAAAAAATTTGACTGCCTTTGATTGAAATGTATTCAATACATTGTGTTGCAGAAATTCTATCTACACTGAATTGATATTAAGCACTGCTTCGAAATAGTCCTCAATATTTGATGCACGAATATTCATGGGGCAAATATTTGCTTCACGGAGTAATAATTCATATCAATTTACTGCTCACAGCAATTGTGCAACAACCATCAATGGTTGCCGTAGACTTGTTGCCCATAGCTTTGAAATGCCTGAGATCTGTGCACCGGTTGCGTAGACCATGTCTAAGTGGATCCCAACCTTGTAGCCATAGCCTCCATTTATGGTGCCGGCTGTCAACAATGGCAAATACGGTGAATCGAAGACCTACTGTGGGCTCATGCCGTGCACCAATGCACATGCGCAATGGCGCCGCACAGCGACGGCGGAACTTCCTCGCGGTTGATGAAAATTGCGTCACGAGGACTGGTAGATTGCCGCAGGGCGTGATCTCCCGAGCAACTGCAGCAGCTGGGTGGCGAAGACGCTTATTTGAAGGTGGCCGTTTATACTGAAACGTTTCCGCCAAGCGGCCATAGTAAAGAACGGCAGCGCTGCCGTCGCTTTTGCCAGCGAAAACGAGGTTTAGAATGTACGAGCTGGTCCAGTTGTGTTCTTTGTTACAGTTATATTTTCCTTTGTGGGCTTTTTATTCCGGCGATCAATATGCACAACTTGAAGGACAATGCTTGTCGTCTTGTGTCAATAACGCCCAAAACACACAGCTGTTCTCTCTTTTGGAAACTGCTGTGAATCCACATCGCACCATCGCCGCCTTCCTACCAAACAAGACATCTCCAACACCCCATTGATCCATCACCTGTTTGCCTGGCCTATTTCATTGCCTGAGTGGACGATCACATAAAATGATCCATGAAATGAGGAAGTAACAATTGGGCCTGGCCTGCGTCCGCCAGCGGGAGTCCGACCTGGTCAGAGTTGACAAGGACTATGAATACGCTGTGCGTCCGCTGTCCACGTGCAAAACGGAAGACGAGGCCCTCCTGGTGGTGACGGAGGCCACGGCGGCCGCGGAGTTGCTTCCCCCAGATCGGGTGGTATGCCCCCTCGGAGAGCCGGCAACGACATTCAAGCTGCAGTGTTGCGCTGAGTGCCCACCATGAAGCAGCCAGCGGCACGGGATGATGTTCGAAAAGCGCCGTGCGTGCGTTGTCTGCAGAAGTTGTGCGGAATCGTGTTTGTAGCTCGCCGAGTCGGCGGCTGTGCACGCGTTCGTTGCCTTGCCGTATTTGTTTGCACAAGCTGCGGAGGCTTGTGAGCTGTTGTTAAAAATCGGAAGAATTCGAGGCCAAGGGCGGATTGTGGATGTGCTTGGATGTTGTTGGCTCGATCGGGCACAGGAATCTTTGATTCGTTGGGCGCGTTTGTATTGCTTGCTGAGGGGCGATTGAAGAATACTTTGGGAGGAAATTCATTCTTTTTTGCCACCGTTAGTTGCAGCAAAGGGTTTTTCGACTTCGGCAGAGTTGGAACCTGAGTGGAGGAGAATAAGAGCTGCAGCAGATTTGCTCCCTGCTGGATTGGACGTCGGCGGAATGGGAAAGACGTGAAAGAAAACTGTAGCGTGATCTGTAGATTACTTTGTCTTAATGTACTTACGGATCCTAACATTTGGCGCGGGATGTGCAACCTTGACGCGACAATAGTCGATCAAATGATTGACAGCTGCAGCCAAAGCACGTTCCACAGCTTCCACAGCTGGCATCTTTCAACAGCAACTTTTAGGAGTTTAACAACTATAACTACGAACAGCTTTTAAGGATGCGGGCTGGTAGCCGAGGTTCAGTCAGCGGGGACTAGATCTTCCCTGGCGCAGCTTCTGGTCAATTACATGCGCCGCGCCACCGTTGAGGTACGGCCTGCGCCCCACTGCGTCACCATCCTCCCCTTGCGCTCACCCTGCGCACCACGCACCTGACGTACACCCCTGGAAACAGAAAAAACGCACCAAAATTGGAACACGTTACCACGTTCCCCGTCCAAGGCCAGCTCAAGAGGATTTGGCAGCGCGCTGAGCGCCACAGGCCTCCCCCCCGGTCCCAACCCCCGTCCCACCCTCCTGGGTCAGTCCCCCGACCTCCGACAGCGCCTCGGCGCCCACAGACATGGCCTCCCGGCGGCCCCCAACCCCTCCCGCCATCGCCGCGACCATCCTCCTCCTCCTCCTGGGCAGCGCCGCAGCCGATGAAGTGGACGACCTCATCGACAGCGTGGAGGCGGTCGTCGAGAAGATCGCCGACGAGGCCACCGCTGCGTTCGCCAAGCGGTTTGAGTCTGTGGAGGGATGCGCGTGCTCGCCTCACGCCTGCGGGAGCGATTTCGAGAGCAGCGAGTGCGCGGAGGACATCGGCGACGCGGAGCTGTGCGGGGCGTGCGCCGGGCAGAAGGTGTGAGGGCGTGCGCGCCACGCCGGCTCGTTCACGGCGCGCCGCCTTGTCCGCGCCTCTGGGATTCATTAGTGGCGGGGATTCATTGGCGACGGAAAGGATGGAGATCTCGACAATGGGCGCGGGGCTCCTGAGCGAGGGATGGGGAGATTCCTCGCCGCGCTGTGACGGATGCTGCGGCTGATTGGGTGAAAATGCGGTAAAGGTTGGGTGATAGTGCGGAAATCCTTGCGCCCTAGGGCGGGCCTTTCGCGGCCATCTGGGTCGATTTCGTCCCACGTTGTCGGTGCCGTTGGGGTTATCACCGCGCATCCCGCCCGCGACCTGTGCCGCGGCGGATGGCCTCCCAGCGGGCGGCCCGCCGTGGATTGCCCCGGCGCTCAATGCGGCGGGAGCGAGAGCGCCGGCGCGCGACGGGCCCGATTCGCAACATCTGATGCGCTTGCCGAAAGAGGAAGTTTGTTGCCGCAAGCCACCCGTAAGGGCTGCGCCGAGACAGGCGTGAGCGAAGGCAACCAACCCGCAGCTGTTTTTGCGGGTGAGCTGTGCCAATCTCCCCGATGCCCACCAGCGCGGTCGAAGGCCGCTGGTGTTCGGACATTGGTGGTCCGCGTCGGGATTGGCGCTTCCAGGCCCGTGTCTGGGATTGCTCCTCGGCGCGTCCGATTCAGCCTCCCCGGACAGTAGTCATCCAGCCTTGGAGCTTGCGCTCCCGCCTCTCGCCCGCCGGCGCATTGAGGCGTGGGGTGGGAATGCGCTGCCTCGGATTTGGCGACGATTCTCAGACCGTTGGTGCATGGGCATCACGACTCCCGCCTTTGCGAGCATTGGTGCCAGCAAGAAAATTGTCGACAGGTGGCGGCCAGTCCATTGGGACAGTGGGGTCAGCATCAGCGAATTTTCTTCCCGTGTTGGATTATGCCGCCAGCGCGCGTTGAATGAGTTGACCGAACTGTTGAGGGCAATGGGGCAACAGCTTAGTGGGGACAGGTCATCAAACCCATTGCGCAATTGGACGCCCGCACTTTAATTCTTTTCGTTGGGGGCGGCAACGCGCACCGGTTACTATGCATGACTCGCATGGAATATGGCAAGTAAAGGAGCTGATTTCGGCTCCCTGCGAAGTCCTGTGGACATGCCTTACACCACCATTGGCTTTGAGGTAAATGCGTCTGCCTCGTCGTAGAAGACTCTCTGTTCACCTGCGCACGAAGTGTTTCGCACGAAGTGTTGCGCACGTGGCACCTGAGCCAGATCTTCAGTCTCTGTTGTCCCAGCCGTCGTAACAACTAAATGCCAGGCAGAAGCTGAGTGGGTCACTTTGAGAACAGAAAATTGTTGATGTTTGGAGCGCAGAACACCATCTTAATGAGAGTTCAACGATAGCTGATATCCATGGACCACAGTTTGTGTGCAGGACATGGCAAATCCAAACCCTTGCATCCTGTTGGCGATGAAGGGCATGGCAGTATCTGGCATTAATTACCCGGTTCTGGTTCAACAGATGGTGAACTGTCACATGCTTGACAAATGTAGCCAATCCCGATTTGCACTATCTATGTTTATTTTTGATTGTTTCGTCAATTGATTACTCTCTTTTGGATGTGCCGCTGCAGCTGTCATTTGAAGAGAGCTTCATCTTGACACCACCAACAGTTGACCTTGAGGACCTCCCTGCTGATGTCAAGGATTCCATCTGCACTTTCAGGGCAAGCTGGCTGCTGTTCTTTCAATTCCTTGATGCTTGCCTGTGCGTTAAACGAACAGTGCTTGTACCAGTAATTTGCAACCCACAGAGGGCAAGGGCAATGCCTTTTATCGACTTGTCCAGTTTGGTGGCAGCCCCATGGATGTTGACAATTTCTTGATAGGTGCAGATGGATCACAGCAGCCCTGGTGTGCAGGGCCCTGGTTGCTGTGTCTGATTTAATTGTGGCAGAAGATGCTTTGATGAGCAGCTTCCTGTACATGAACTGCTGATTGCGTTTGACCTGCAAATTTGCAGTGGTTTTCCTCCCAAACATGGGACGAACTTTCTTAAGCTGAATCACCAGCTGCCGTTAGGCTCTCAACAGAGCCCTCAATGGTTTGTCACCTGCCTGATGATGACTGATGGGTGAATGGGCAGTGCATTACCACGTTCAAAAAACGTCGTCAATGAGCATATGCGATAAGTCCTCTTTGCTTATACAACAGGGCTTAAATGATGTGTTCAGTGAGGTTAAGGACGACTTGGGAATCAGGGCATGGAGTTATGTGGCCACGACGAATGGTGTCATGAGGTGGGCACTGCAGATGTCTCGAAGCACTGTATCCATGCCCCGCCACGTGGTGCAAACGTTGGTAATGCCATATGTCAACCGTGAGTAAGAACACAGAAGTACTGCCAGATTCTACCAACGTGACTACTGAGGAACAGGGAGATGGAACCTCAAAAGGGACATTTTTGTTGTGGAACTGTTGATCATGGCGTAAATTGCAAAGAAAGGGGCAAAAAGCGTTGCTGTTGTGCCTTCAGGGCAATCACGGGCACAATTCCTTGTGCAGCACTTGCTCAAGGCTGTTTTTTTGTTTGTCTAGCTGCTCAGAAATTACATAAGTGTTGTGGCAAGTATGCTGAGGCGTTCTCTGCGGCATTTGCGCAGAAACTGGCCTGGCCATGCGCACGAGCGTGGAGAAGATGTCATCCCAGAGCTTGCCGATCCAAACCTGGAGGGCTGCAAAATATATGACCCGGTAAGGGGATGCTTGCAGGCATTTCTGGAACCCCCTTACCCAACACATTCCCATTTATATCTTGGTTCTTTGTACTGTTTTTGTGGATAGGCATCCTTGCTTGTCCTGTCCATTGTGTTTGGACACCTCTAGTCCTCCCTCAATGCTATGTTCATCTTATTTTGCAGCCTCTGCATTATTGACTTTGAAGAATGCATTTCCTGGGTTCCTTCAGTGTTGTGCAGTGATTCCTTGCTGGCTCCCTGTGTGAACAAACGGCCTCAGAACTGTAGGTAAAAGTATGCCTGGCATTGTGTTGCAGGTGCAATGGTTGTGCTTGTTATATGTTGATAAGCCCAACTAACCAGATTGTCTTCTGTGTGCAGCGGATACGGCCATGGTATGCAGCGGCAACAAGTGGTCCAAAGGACGTTGTGCTGGTCGTTGACACTTCGGGTGAGCACCTGTGGCAGCAAAACCGAGAGAGCTTACTGGTTGCATTGAGCCTCAACTTTAAATAGCGTTGTGCCTCCAGCACGACTCAGCAAATCTGTAACATGCTCACACTACGGGAGGCTCATCAAATGAATGGGCACAGCAATCCGCCTCAATTTAAGGCAAAGTGTGAAAGGTAGTTGGGATGTTTTGCCTGCTGCCAACGCGAGCATGGGTGGCAAGTTGGCTGTCATTTGTTGATGTTGCCGCGGATGAGGCAACTGGTGATTCTGTACAGTGACAAAATGCTCAGGTTAACGTGCTGCTCACGAACTGTTTGTCACCAGGCACTGCAATTTAGGCTTCAAGTTTTCTAGTCGAGCATCTTTGGCGACCTCGTATTTATTTGCTGAAGCAATAAGATGTGTGCTGAACGTGGGGCTGACATAGCCTGTGCAGTGCCAGGGCAGTGATTTGTTGTGGCACAATTATTGCACTCACTCTGATTCGTGTTGGATGTGGGTTTGTCTGATGCCTGTTTTCGGTGGGTCTGCAAGTGTTCCAAAGTTGCGATTGCTTTAGGTCTCTGCCAAGACTGCCCAAACCAGCTGAGCGCAGTACCATAAGCCTGACATTGTCTCCTGCCTGCTCTTGAAAGTCCGCTTCCATTTTGTTACTCATCACCACTGGGCAAAACATTGAACTTTGCACTAAGGCAATGATGGAAGCATGTGCACTGGTGTTCTTCAGTGAGGAGAACATTCTTTGCTGGTCGTCTTGCAGACGAAAATTGGCATGCACTGATAGACCCCAATCTCCATGGGGAGCAATGTAATGCTGAGGCATGCGTCTCATATCTGTCTCATCAGTGTGTCCAAGAGAACAATGCAGTATATGGCTCCTGAAGCTTTGTCAGATATGTGGGCACACTGCTGTTGCGGACATAGAGCAATTATGATCCTGGTGAAGTTCATCTCTGTATTCTCCTGCTTGTGTGTCTCAGAGAGCATGCTGGTGGCCAGTGATGGCGAAGGGGATTCGATGACACGTTGGGACGTGGCCAAGAGGGCCATCCTGAGCTTGTTGGACACATTTGGCATCACAGACTACATCAACATGGTTGAATTCAATGACAAGGTTACGAGCCTCAACCCAGGGAAGATGCTGCAAGCCACGTCTGAGAACATCGCTGCGCTGAAGGAAGAGGTGAATGGGATTGAACCCAATGGGGGTACTGACTTTCGCAACGGCTTGGAGGAGGCATTCGATCTGCTGACCGAGGCTACAGTGAGGCACAGGGAGGAGGAGGAGCTGGTCAGCTCGGACTGTCAGAAGGTGGGGGGATGTTGCTGGTAGTGATGCTTTGATTCCAGATGTTTGCATCACACTCAAATAAGCATGTGCCACCCGAGTGGAAATAGAATTGGCTGTTGTTGCAACTCGAATAGCATAGGGTTCCAATGCTATGAAGTGTGATGACTCCATCCTGTCTTATCCAATATTTGCCAAAGTCAAATGCGTCCATGGTCTGAAAGGCTATCCCTGAAATGGGGCCAGCGTTGTCTCTGTGAATTCAGAATATGAATTGTTCGTTGAAAGAGGACAATGGGCAGTGTCAGGCAAGCCCTTCAAGCACACTGTTTTCTTGTGCCTTGTTGGGGAGGTGATTGCTATGTGTGTGAGTTCCAAGCATCGCACAGCATTGGATTTGAGTGAAGGTATGAATCGAATGATATGTGCTGTTGTGAAACAGTGCAAAGGGCCCCTTATCGACTTGTGTGTGATTGGACGTACTTTCATCTTTGTTAGCAGGCATAACAGCTATCCCATGCTGCTTTTGCGACCGTGCTGTAACAACACCATTCCAACATTTTAGCAAAACCTACCACAGTACTTGTCCATGTTATGCGTGGCTAGTTCTGGCGCAGGCACTGTGCTCTAGCCCTGCCACGATGGTGGCTGTGTCCCATGCCCCTTCAGAAGAGCAAAGCTGAGCCAGTGAAAGTTCTCCACTCTACAAAAAGGGTGCAGAAAATGCCAGATGATATGAAATAGAAGAGATCTCATAGTGTGTCCCGCCGTCTTGGTCCTTATGCTTCATGCAGCTGCAGTGTGGCCTGCGGCAACTTGCCCTGAACCTTGATGCAGACAGTGGCCCATGAGGCCCACGCTGACAGGAAGTGAAACATGCAGTGCCACAGGAAACTTTGCAAAGTTTCAACGACATGCAGGTCTATTGATTTTCCTTGCCACACTGGTGCTCTTAGGGTGGGCCAGTGACTGTACCTCTCCTCAATACTTCTGTATCTGTGTGTGGAATTGTGCCCATTATTGTTTGCAAGCTTCAAAGGCTGTGTCAGCTGTGGTCGGCTGTGTTTGCTGTGGTCGTTTGCAGACAGACTCAATTAAATTGCATTCAACCTGTCCTTGCTTTAACAGTTGCTCCTGACATGTATGTGCACAGGTGATTATTTTTGTGACTGCTGGTGAAGATTGCACATTGGGCAATGGGAAGAAGTGTGCAAAGAAACCACCAAAAAATTTGACGCCTGTGGATGCCGTGCTGGAGCTCATTGAGGAAAAGCAGCAGGAGCTGGTGGATGCGGGCAGCCAAAGGGCACACATTTTTCCATACTCCTTTGGCGCAGATGCAGACGACGAGATTCCAAAGGAGATGGCTTGCGCAAACGAGGGCGTTTGGGGCCGTATCCTTTGTAAGTTCCAATGATTGCTGTTACACATAGGTAAACAATTCTTGGTCTGGGGGCACAACTCCTGGAGTGGATTGTTGAGTCTCTTTGCAGAGGCACACTGATGTGAAAGTCTATTAGAGTCTGCAGAAGTTTTGAGGTGCCCTACAGGACTGAGGCACTCGGAACTTGCAATAACGGGAAAAACAATATCAACTTTGTGATTATTGTTGCAGAGGTCAGTTGACTGGTTCTGAGGGTTTGTGATGGTGCTGGGCTGTGTTGTGACATTGTGGTCACTCTTGCAGTTTATTTTCCAGTTAGTCTTGTGAAGGCTGTCACAAAATGGAACACAATCATCATAGCATTAAGAGAAATGGCATGTGAATATACTTGTACAATGTTGTTGGTGTGTATGTAGCCAATGGTGGGTCGGGCGTGTGCTCTCGCGCCCTGTAGCAACAGAATCCTGAATGGGAATGCTCATGTCGTCTGCTGCTGGGAGACTTTGTGTGTACATGACAGAATATGAACACAGAAGGGGCACTGCTCTTGGAAATGAGGGAACAACAGGCCAGTGCCAGTTTTGCTGGTGCCCTGTGAAGATAGTTGGGACTAGAACCTGGATGCCAGCCATGCGCCAAATGTCTACCATCATATAAAAACCTCAGGATTGGACAGCCTGCCTGTTGTTCAGAAGTGGATGAGTTATGTGCAGCTTGAGTCATATTTGCCTTGCCAATTCGAATTTAATGTTTGTGCAGCAACTGATGACCCTCTCTTCAAGATGAATGCCTACACAGCATACCTCGCTAGCCAGCGAGGCAATTCGGAACCCATTTGGTCCAGGCTGTATGAAGACGAGTTTGGACTAGGGCTGGTCGTCACTGCTGCAAAGCCAATCTACAGCCCCAAGACATCTCTGGGTGCAGATGGTTCGCTTGTTGGCGTGGTGGCCCACGATGTCAGAATTGCTGACATCGAGGAGGTCGCTCCTGACTTCAAATCTGTAATCCTGCAAATCATCAGGCGGGGAATCCAGTGCATAGACACTGTTTTCACAGGCTGCGAGCTTCAGGTGTGGGATTCAACTTTGGTTTTGCTGGCAGTGCTTGCATTACATGGGGTTTGGGGTGTTCTGTTTGCCTACCATTGTGAGTTCATTGTTGGCTGCAGAAAACCTGCCACTCGTAACGCCCACCAAAGGACATGTTCCAAGGCATGGGTCGTTTTCTCATTGCTGTGGCTGATACAGTTTTGGGGCTGTTCCCGCACTTCAAACGTAGTTGTGCCCTAAATAAACTGCAGATAGATGTGTGTAAGTTACTGTCACGTGTACTCTAGCGAGTTTGGCAGCAATCGGATATGTTTGAATAGAACTGGGGTGAATATAGAGCGAATCGATGTGGAGTGATGCTGCATGGCCACCATGCCCATTCGCAGCGAATGAGGGTGTATCTGCCATCACTGCCCATCAGTCTGCATGCTGTGGATACCTTGCTATGGTTGCCTTGATGCTGCTACACCAAGCTCTGCAGTTTAAAATAAGGTTGGCTGAGTTTGAATTGTGCACCATTTGTGGCACAGCACAGTGGAACTCCCACTGGTCATAGACCATCCAGTGCTTAAATGAAGTAATCAGTGAAAAGATGGCCGTTCTCAATAGCTCGCAGCATATATTCTGGAGGCTCAACAAATTGTTGCAAAGGGTCTCTTACAGTTGTAGTCAGCACAGCCGCAGCTGCATCTACGATTGCAACTGCTCTGCATTGATCCGTGGCTGCACCGATCCAGGTGCTCAGAGGGGAGGAAGGCCAGTGCCCTGAAAAATTCGACGAGGCGGACTGCTACTTCTTCGAGAAGTCAGGCAGCTATTACATCGCTCCCAAAGAGCCCCTGCTGACCTTCGACGACGCCGAAGCCTTCTGCCAGGACTTGGGAGGCAAGCTTGCCGACATTGACGAGCCAGAGGAGGAAGATTTGCTGGCAGGCCTGGCTTCGAATGCTGGTTCCTGGATCGGCCTAAGGCGTGACGATACAGGCGAATGGAAGTGGAGGGTGACGGGTGACGCAGTCCCGGAAGACTCCGACATCTGGGTGTTCAGGAAGGAGTTGCAGGACCCCAAGAAAGAGTGTGCAACTATCGATCGCCGAGGCGTGAGGAACAGCGTACATCCAGAGGACTGCGCCACGCTCACTCGACCCATCTGCGAATTCCCTGCCGACGCCATTCCCGATCAGTGCACTGTAGGTTCATCATCGCAGCGTTGCACCCAGGGTCAGAATGCTGATTATTTGCAGCGAGTTCTATTGGCTTTGTTGCCAGGGCTTGGTGCTGAGGATATCCACAGCATCACCACATGAGCTTGTTTCCTGGAGCAAAGTGTTGATTGCTGTTTATGAAACTGCTGATTCTGCAGCTGACACGTTTTGGGGATATATGGTGGCAAAGATGCAGCTGTGCATGCAACTGAGAAATTGGGCAACATTCACGTGTATGCTGAAGTGGCATCCTTCTAATGATTAAAGGTCTGCTCTAGTGTTGCTTCACAGATTTACCTGGCTGAATGCTGTGGGGCACTGTGTTGCAGAATGAAGTAGAAGTGTGCATGTATGCCTTGTTTGTTTGTGGCAAAGAGTCAATACGATCACATGGAGAGGTTGCGTTTGCCACCCTCCACCAATGGTGCTGTGATCGACTTATGCCACAGCAATCTTTCCTTTGGAGTGGGAGGTTGCAAAAGGTTGCGGAGTTGTCGAATGGTCAGCAGAAAAGCTGTGGAACGAGAACTTCACCGGACAGGGCCTGAACGTGTCCTGCTTCAGACACGCTCACGTGCTGTTCGTCCATTGTCGCAGGGATTTTGGCAATGCTTGCTGCACTAACCTTGAGGCCAAACACCGTGCAATGCTCCTGACTGTACATAATAGAATATTAAAGGGAAGAGCACAGCACTTTGCGTTGTCTGGTGAACTTGTCTGTGGCCGACGCCAGGGTGACAAGGCGCTCCAGATCGATGAAGACTACGAATACAACGTTCGGCCTCTCTCAACGTGCAGACAAGAGGAGGTCGATCGACTGGACGCGACCTCGGCCAGCCCTGGCGCAGAGGACCTTGCCATCGAGGATGTGGTGTGCTCGCTGGGCGAGACGAAGAGCACGTTTGACGTTCGTTGCTGTGACGATTGTGACGTATAGTCAGCAAAGGTGAGGAGAGTATATTAGTCCCCACTTCTTTTGTTCGAAGATCCCTTCTTCTGCTGCTGACAAGGCCAGTGTGGGTCAGCGGGTCAGTGGTTTAGGGTATAGGGTGCCGAAACACGAGTCGACAATCACAAAAGGAAAGAGGGACTAAGTTTATGCCCGATGGTGAGTGTGTTGACGGCGGTTTGTTGTGCTGGACAAGTGACGAGATCACAACTTTTGAGTAAGCGTGAGTGGAGGGTTGCTGGGTGTCCGTGTGCACTAAGAAAGAGTGCACCATCTTTCGTGCTGTTTGTTGGCTTGTTTGCTGACTAATTTCCTTGCTGGCCGGTGCGTTTGGTGGTGACAACTTGCTGTATTTTTTGCAGTGACGGAGAAGATGAAGCAGAGGGAAATCTTCCCGTTGCTGCCTCCAATTCCTGACGGTGTTGCAGCTGTCGTTCATGTCAACGGGCTGAAGAAGCCTGGCGCCGGGTGCTTTTGCAGGACTGCTGACTGACGAGCTGTTCTAGTTGCCAGCTCTTGTGGCGAAAGATTCAACAATGTTAGATTTGCAGCAGAACGGCAGAATGTCTTCTGCGAACGAGGCAATTGACGGTGAATAGTGGGGAGGGCACTTTTTGCAAGGGGCGCTGCTCTCTCTTTGGTCCCAAGCTGCCGTTGTAATGTGAGGAGCATTGTGTGCATCAATGCCGGCGGTTATGTTGCGCCAAACTCTGAACCAAAGGTACTGCCGCGTATGCAGTGCTCTTGTATGGCCTAAATTGGGTTTTGTTGCGCCCCAGGGCACACGCCGTGCCTTTGAGATATTGCCGAGATCATAGTGTTGTGGACCGAATCTTCGGCTGTCTGCAATGGACAGGCTTCGAGAGCACTTCGCAGGGTATGCGTTAAATCCGACCCGACCTTTGGCATTTACATTGACGGCGCCCGCATAATGGCTCAGTATGGTGGGCGCTTGTACGGTGGCCAGCCAGGCACATGTGCAAGCGCTCAAGACACGGGTGCCCAACGTGGAGAGCGGCCAGCTGGGGGAGTTCCTGGTGGGGCGAGGACTGCCGCCTCACGTCCTGTCCCTAGAAACGGGTGTCAGAGCCCACTGCCAACATGCTGCATGGTGCAAGATCGCCGCAGGTAGGCCGACAATAAGATGCCAGCTGGACAAATTGGCGAAGGGCCATGCACTGAGGCCGAGCGTCACAACAACGTGCAGTGTGCAGGCGCCCCAGCGTAATAGACATGGTACTGCTGTGATGCCTCTGGCACCCGCCAAGCCAGCTGCTCGCAAAGGCATCGCAGCAGTCACAGTGCCTCTGGGGGGCGCCGGGAGCCACTTCTGCGCCCACATTGAGATCTCAGGGCAGGCAGGAGGACCAGGTAGCAGGGCAAGGCCCCACAACACGCTCCCTGGGCCCACACTTGGGTTGAGAGCAGAGGGCGGAAGCCAAGGCGAGGGCACAGGTAGGCTGGGAGGGAGTGCACATGAGGCGCCTGAAACCATGTTCCCATGCGGAAGGTGTGAGCCAGGGGGGCGCCACTACACGATGAAAGGAGAATTGCGTGTTGCTAGTGCGCACGAGGCGGGGCCCACCAGGGAAGATGGGGGGGAAAGGAGGATCCCCAGGCCACAAAGATGGAGTCAGGCGGGGGGTGTGAATTGTAAAACCAAAGAGGCGGTTTTCAATACAAAACGCAACAAAACAAAAGGTGTGGTCTTTGTCGAAGCTGCTGTCTATGATGCTAATATTGTCCCAACCCAGCGCACTGGACCGGGGTTGGCGGGGTGAAGATTGCGTCCACCATCACCAAGCAGCTCCCGATCGACCGTTGTTTCTGAGATCCAATATGAAAATCGTGCCCCCTTTCTCTCCATCCCTTGTGTGGCTTTTGGCGCTGGTTTCCTGGCGAGACCCACCCTTGTTGTTCCCGCCGACCACCAGTTCCAAACGCGGCAGCACATTAGTAGGTTGTCCCCAATGGGAACTCCCCCTATTGGCTGCTCAATGTTGGGCACCAACGACTTAACCATTTGCGCGTGCCTGGCTGGTGACTGTACATGCACCCACCATATGGGGCCTGTTGAAGTATAGCATAATGAATCGTGGTCGATTTCATCTATGCTTTGTTTATACTTCATTTCTGCTACGTGCGCTTCGTCCAAGAATTGATGTAATGGCTGATGGATTGTCTGGTCGGCCAGTTGTCATTGGCAACGGCGTTGGATGATCTGGCGGAAGCACAGCTGTGGGTTGAATCAAGAGTAGTGGCAGCTATTGTGCTTGAAAGGCACATTGGATTATGTGATGGAAGTGCGGCTGTCGGGTTGAATCATGAGTGCATTGACAGCTGGAATATGTGAAATGATTGATGGGAATGTACGATGTGTGGTTTGGCGTACAAAAGTTGGACATGGCGACATTGTAACAGATCCTTGTCGGTGATGGGTTCCATGCTCCGGGTGCCGCAAGGCCGCGTTCCGAGCCGCCTGGCAAATCGCAGGCCCCCGACGCCAAAGGCGTGGCTTCCGTGAGGCTGCGCGGCAGGGGACAGCTACTAGCAAGCGTGTGGACGCGGGCCCCGAACGTGGGGCATCTCCACATGCCGGCGCCTTACTAAGGCGCGCGGTGAAGGGTTGACACCCCCCGTGAGGGCTGTGCAATCGCGGGCGGAGGACCCCGTGCGCCGGCGAGGGCGTTGGCGCGATGTGGGTTGACGGGGAGCGATGGGAGGCAAAAAGGGAGGGCGCATTACGTGGTGCATCGAAGGAATCGTGAACCGTGGACGGGACTGCTGCAAGGCGGAGGTACTGCGGGTTCCGGCAGCGAGCACGGGCTGCGAACGAACGCCAAAAGGGGGCGATGTGCGGTCGCCGCTTATTTGGCTGACTCCGGAGGGGAATTGCCCGTCATTCTGCGCGTGATGGGACGTTCCTTTTAACATAGTTTCAGAGCTACGTTTTGCTCCATGGGGATCATGTGAATCATGAATCTGATGAATCTAAATCGGAGGATGATAGTAATGAACGACGATGATAAAAGGTTGTTCTACAATTCGGAATATGAAGGGGGATTCTTCTTTTTTCATGCATTAGAACCTTTGTGGTTGAAATTGGGCGATTGACTCTGGGAAAGTGCGGCCACCACCAGAGCCCCTCATCTTGCTCGATTTTTAGTATTGAGTAAGGGAGGCTCTCCGGATAGGGTTAGTGCAGCGACGAAGGGGGATTTGCTAATGTATACTTAAAGGGTTTTGAATATGATGCATTCTTTTTTTTTAGAAGAATCTAATGGGCCCACCAAGAACCGCAATTTAGCATATTCGATGTTGTGACATCATGGCTACACGTATAGTTCGGAGTTTGCACAGTGGAAGGCAGGAGTGCCCATGTTGAAGTATAGCATAATGAATCATGGTCGATTTCATCTATGCTTTGTTTATACTTCATTTCTGCTACGTGCGCTTCGTCCGAGAATTGATGCAATGACTGATGGATTGTCTGGTCGGCCAGTTGTCATTGGCAACAGTGTTGGATGATCTGGCGGAAGCACAGCTGTGGGTTGAATCAAGAGTAGTGGCAGCTATTGTGCTTGAAAGGCACATTGGATTATGTGATGGAAGTGCGGTTGTCGGGTTGAATCATGAGTGTATTGACAACCGGAATATGTGAAACGATTGATGGGAATGTACGATGTGTGGTTTGGCGTACAAAAGTTGGACATGGTGACATTGTAACAGATCCTTGTTGGTGATGGGTTCCGTGCTCCGGGTGCCGCAAGGCCGCGTTCCGAACCGCCTGGCAAATCGCAGGCCCCCGACGCCAAAGGCGTGGCTTCCGTGAGGCTGCCCGGTAGGGGATAGCTACTAGCAAGCGTGTGGACGCGGGCCCCGAACGTGGGGCATCTCCACATGCCGGCGCCTTACTAAGGCGCGCGGTGAAGGGTCGACACCCCCCGTGAGGGCTGTGCGATCGCGGGTGGAGGACCCCGTGCGCCGGCGAGGGCGTTGGCGCGACGTGGGTTGACGGGGAGCGATGGGAGGCAAAAAGGGAGGACGCATTACGTGGTGCATCGAAGGAATCGCGAACCGTGGACAGGACTGCTGCAAGGCGGAGGTACTGCGGGTTCCGGCAACGAGCGCGGGCTGCGAACGAATGCCGAAAGGGGGCGATGTGCGGTCGCCGCTTCTCTGGCTAACTCCGGAGGGGAATTGCTCGTCATTCTGCACGTGATGGGGTGTTCCTTTCAACAAGCTATTATACGGGCGCTGCCAATGTAAATGATAAAGGTCAGGTTGGATTTAATGTATGCCCTTGGTAGCTATCTCTATGGCTGTTCTTATAGCGTGGTTGCCTTGGTGTCGTTGTTACGCGCACCAGCCTGATGTGGGAGACGTCCTACTAATGGCCCTTGGTGTGGGGGACGCCCTGCCCAAGGCACGTACTATTCCTCACCCACTGTAACCTTTATCCATATTGGGATACGGGAGTAGGAGGGGTGGTCCCGCCTAGGTGCCCTGTAAGGACCTAGGTGCCCGGCGAGGCGGGTCCGCGGCTCAAAGAGGGCAGGAACCCCACACCCACATTCTATTCGTAACATTTGGTTTCGGAGCCGCCTGAGGGTGGCGGCCACGCTTCCACCTGGGAGCGCGCGAGAGTACGAGACGCCGGAGCCCTTCCCCGGCCTCCTCCATGGAGGCTGAGGAATCGGAGGAACAAGCCGGGATGGGCAGGGGGAAGGACAAGCCCGGGATGGGCAGGCGATCGAAACAGCCCGGGATGGGCAAGGAACTGAACAAGCCCGGGATGGGCCAGGAGGTGTAACAGTCCGGGAGGACATGGCTGGACCCTCC